ATCGCCGCGATTTTCATTCATTTTCATTTATTGATTTCGCGCTGGAAGAGTACCACAATCGAAATCGGCTGACTGGCATGCAATAACTCGTAACAGTTGTCTTGTCGTGATCAAATCGCGATGATGAAATCGCGTGAACTTTGTCTTGGGCCTTAGACGTCCGAAGGATTGACGTCTCTTCCCATTTTATCAGTTCTTGATTAATTAATTCAGATATGTGCATTAACAGCATGGCTCAAAAGAATGGACTCATGCGCGAGTCCTCCGATCACAGCTTCCACATGTCATTCCAGTAGAAGTAGAAAGTCAAACGCAATTTAGAATTGCTATGCGTTATTTCTCCCATGCAAAATGAAAAAAAAATGCTCAATAAAGACTTCTTTTTCCCGAGCATTGATGCTGCCAGTATCTACATATTTCATGCAAAATTAGCATAGCAGACGCAAAGTGCACCATCCACAGATCTTTGTCGTAAAAATAGCCTATACATCAAAGATCGAACCTCGTTTTTTTTTTCGCCATACTGTTTCCATTACTAACACACATTAGTAGCTTTCCATCACATCAGAAGCGACAAAGGATCCCGCCCGGAACGGTGACCAATTCATAGCTGGTGATGTGCGGGCTGGCCGTACGAACACACTACCCAGTTTTTGGCAGTTTTCGAAAAGCGACAGTGAAATCGGGACGTCGGCTCGGTATAAAAGTGCGCAAAGCACTTTCAGTCCGACGTACTCTCGTATCCCTAGGCCGTGTCTCACAATAGCGATTGTGTTCTTCGTATATCTGGCCCTTGAAAAAGAAATTTAAGACTTGTTATTCCTTTGGGAAATTCTAATTTTACAGTTTACAGATGGAGACGGCGGAGCAAAAAGAACTCCGTCGAGTCGCATTTTTTGCGATTGTCGTCAGTACAGTGGCTGTAATAGCGGCCGTAGTCACTTTACCTATGCTGTACAGTTATGTCGCCAATTTTCAGTCTCATCTCATTATTGAGACCGATTTTTGTAAGGTAAGCAGTCCTGAACCACGATTTTTATCTCTTCATCTCAAAAACATCGTTCAGACTCGTGCCAGGGACATGTGGGCCGAGATACACCACATCGATGGGCCAGAATTCGCTCGTGCTAAGCGTCAGTATGGTTCGTCACCAAATCCACCACCAGCAGTCACTGGATATGGACCAGTTGTAAATAGTGAACCAAATCCTACTTGCTGTCCTTGTCAGCAAGGTCCAGCCGGGCCACCTGGACCTCCTGGAGACGATGGTGAAGATGGAGCCGATGGAGCTAGAGGAAATGATGGTACAAATGGAAAGGTAAGCGCAACCACGGCCATGAACCTACAAATTCAAAGTAAATTTTCACGAACTCATTCTAAAATTTCCAGGACGGTAGCATGCTAGAATCAGCCATCAATAACGATGCATGCATAATCTGTCCACCTGGGCCCCCGGGACCACAAGGAATGGCTGGCGCCAAAGGTCCGCAAGGACCAAAGGGACCTGCCGGAGAAAATGGTACCGATGGAAAACCTGGACTGGCCGGTATGCAAGGCCCAATGGGTATGATGGGAATGCCCGGGAGACAAGGTGTGGCTGGACCAAAAGGAGCTCCAGGACGAATTGTTCAGGTAAAACCTACCATCAATAACCAGCGGATACGGTCAGATATCTTCCCCAATTAAGGTCAATGGCCCAGCTGGACCAGCTGGTCCAAAAGGACCAAGAGGACAGCCGGGACCACGTGGTGAGGCTGGAATGGATGGTGCAAGTATTGAAGGACCACCTGGACCACCAGGCCAGCAAGGACGCCCAGGACCACCCGGACAAACCGGTCCACAAGGACCACAGGTAAAAAACCATCAGATTCTTATTAGCTACCAAAATTATTTTTCATTTCAGGGACCTCGCGGGGCACCTGGAGAGCCTGGCACTTGCGAGCACTGCCCCATTCCTCGTACTCCTCCTGGATATTAAACCATGATTTCATAAATCACCTTTTCTACTAAAAATCGCCCATAAAGGGTGTTATCGAGTGGAATGTATAATAAAACATACTCTATCGACTTCTCTAAAAACAAAATCTGTTAGATTTCCGATTATGTTGCATGTTTGTATCACAATGGACAAAGAGGACGATATAGCGAGTTCAGTTTTCGGACGGGATCACATTCCGAAGTATCCGACTAGAAATACAGTTTTACGATCCAGTTTCTTTTGAGATACATTGTACGCATCCTCAACTAGAGCGTTCACATGTTTTGTTGCTAAGAGAGGGATTTGAGCTGAAAGAAGTGTTGACTACAACGTCCTATACTGATATTGATGGAGTTAATATAGCAAGTAATAAAGTAAACATTAGCATTCTAGGAAGAAATAATTTGCATCAGCTTTTCCGAGACCAATTTACACTCTCTCTGAAACACACTTAAAATGGTCTGTTAAATAACACATAGAGTGGTATTCACGATTCATCTGCGACAAGATATTAGTATAATCTTTTTCAACGAAAAGGATACAGATACAGAGATAGTCCACAAATTCAGTGACTCCGTTTTTTAATACGGCAATATACCGTAAGCGCCCAAAAGGTTTCCAGACTGTAAAGTCCTGCAGACACGGATTACTTTTCCCAGAACCTTCTTTCATGCCGATTCCCGACGCATGCCCTTTCCTTATATTGAAACCGCATCAAACCGCGTCAGTGTAATTGCGACCTTGACCTATCAAAACCCTACCCAATCTATGGGATAAAAACGATATAAAAAAAAAATTATGGACAAAGTGTTGCTAAAATGTAGAGCAGAATATACCAAAAGCGAGACTGATCAAGAAAGAAAAGGACTCTATCTTACCCGTATAGTGATGTGTATGGTGAACATTTTTTGCCAGATGCAAAGGCCATCATGCTACTAAAATACAAGATTAGCCTTTTTTGGTTTGCAATAACCGACGATTCTCTAAAGCACTATACCAGAACGGAACTACTACTGTTTCAAAAAGGACTACTACCAAGAATGCGATTATAAACCGCTCTGTCTTTGAAGAA